CAGCATCAGGGTCTTTTCCAAGGAGTCCTCTCTTCGCATGAGGTGACCAAAGTATCTGAGCGTGAGCTTCATTATCAATCCTTCCAATAAATATAAAATAAATATATATAAAACATGAATAAAAAGATAAATATAAAATAAAATATAAAATGTCAGTGTAAAATATAAAACATTAGCATTAATCAAAACACAAAATATAAAATTAAATTAAAAGTATAAAATATAAAATATAAAGCATATACAATGTATAAAATAAAATAATATAAATAGGATTCATTCAAGGGAGCACCGTTAAGGAAAGGTCGGCTTAGCATTGCAAGGTAGGCCATGGCCTGTTCACTTGGCAGTGCTCCACTTTCAGGACTTCCTTAAAGGCAAAAATTGAGACAAGGTTGGAGGATTAGGCTACTGCTGTGTCTCACTTCTGGGGCTCCCCTCGAAGACTGCTTCAAAGTGCCATTGGCCAACCCTTGGGCTAGCCTCAGCATACGACCGACCGTGGGGATCCCCCATCCCCAGCATATACGGAAACAGAGAAATAGCCACCGCTTTGGAGCTTAAAATCTAAGCAAACGTTTGGGAAAAATGTTCCTTTTAAAAAAAATGCTCCAAGGGCCTAGTTGGGAAAACCAAAATGGAAAACACTTGTTCTCTGTTTGTTATTGATTTATAACTTGTTTGTTGTACATCCTGCCTTTTAATGGTTTACATATGTCCTTTTTATTTTGAAGGACAGAAACAAACAGCCGAAGGAGACCAGCATGGATTCCTTTTGGGGGGGGACAGTTAATAGTTATGATCTCTCCTTCATTTTTAACACGGACCTTTATTTCTAAAGACTGACCCAACCACATCCCTTGACTAACAGCTTGGCTTGGACGCCTTTTAGGAGGGAAAATATACATACATACATACATACATATTTCCTGATCATTTTTCATACAGGGGCCTTTGCTTCTAATGACTAAATGAATGCCCAAATCTGACAAGCTGCTATGACTACTTGCCTAAGATGCCTTTTAGGAGGGGACAGACCTAAATCATCATCATCATCATCCATCATCATCATCATCATCATCTTTTCCTGCCCATTTCTTACTGGACTTCTTATTTCTAAGATCTGAAAAAGACCAGCTCTTGATTCCTTGGCCCAAATTCCTTTCAGGAGGGGCAGATCATGATGACGACGATCATGATGATTGATTGATTGATTGATTGATTGATTAAATTTGTATGCCACCCGTCTCCCCCAGAGGGTGACTCTGGGCGGCTCACAATTAGAGTAAAACCCAAAAACAGTTAAAAAATGAATACCCACATTCATTAATTAAAAAGTCAGGCTATATAAAAGACATCAAAAACTAAAATAAAAATA